AGAGAGAGAGAGAGAGAGAGAGAGAGAGAGAGAGAGAGAGAGAGAGAGAGAGAGAGAGAGAGAGAGAGAGAGCTTGTTCTTCTTCTACCTTTTCTGTACCCCTCCATTTCCGTCTCCTTTTTGTGTTTTTTTAACCTACCCTATTTTCTTCTCTATTACCGCCCTTGAGCTACCTGTATCTATACCTCACCCACAAGCCCTACCTATCTGACAACGGATCAGAGACACCACCTCCCTATGGATGTTGGGACGAATCTTAAATTCACTAGCCTGAGCTAAGCTATCCTAAGGTTATGGGTCTACGCCTACCTATCTCTGCTCTGTTCGGGGAGCAGCACCCAAGCTCCTAAGCCCCAGCGCGGGCTGGAAAGAATCCACAACCAGGCAGGAGGCCCGAGCCAACAGTCTCCGCTGGTGAACCCGAAGCATACCCCCAGGAGGCCGTGGGGATAGAAAGGACGACATCGGGTATCGAACCCACGACCTCCTGCGTGCCACTTAAATGCTCAAACAACTGAGCTAGCCCGCTTGGGCTTCATATCCGTCTCCTCTTTTATGCCAAAGATCATTTCTAGGTCCCTGTGCCACAGCAGGACAATGTACCAACACTCTTCAATCTTCTCCTTTGCACAGCTACAAACACTGTTACACTTGACTGCAGCTGTCATTGTCTCTGTCACAATCAATACAATCTTATGGTTTCTTCATCCATGTGTGCAGAGGACTGTCCTTCCTTTTCTGACTGCAGGCATCCTCGACATCCAAACACTATATGTCCATTTTGCGCCGTGGACGTTATACTGAATGTATGGTCTTTTGTGGTTCCTGTTCGTCCTTCATGTTGGCTTGCAATCGACATGCCACTTGTTGAGTGTTTGATGGCCATGCTCAATGGCAGCTGTCGCGGCAATTGCTGTGCTCGGAATGCTCATCTAGGTCTTCCTTATCCTCATCCATCTATCCTCACACACACACACAACTAATGACATGTCAGCAACATGCCTTGTGTCGTCAATGCTTCCAGGAAGCTGTCATAGAAAGTATGTGTCTTTACTGCGTGGACTATCCCCGGTGCCATCACCCTCCACATCCTCTCCTAGCATGTCCCACATGCGGTATTGGTCATACACCTACGGCAACCGCCGACGGATCTCCCTCTTTCTTGCCAAACGAACGACGAACACAGCAGTCCAAGGAGGAAAATGGACTTCTATGTGAACCACCGGCAGAGCGATGTGCTCATAGTTTATCGCCACCAGAGCGAGCTGTTGCGGATCATATCCTGCAGCAGCTGAACACCCTTGCGTTGGACCGATCCTCCCTGTCGTCGTCTGCCCATACAGAAGGAACACATACTGAGGAAGCCCAAGAAAGATGCTCCATGCCGTTTTGTGATGACCTGCCGGAGATTCAACTAGCATGTGGTTCACATGCCTTGTGCCGTGAGGATTATGAAGGTATAGTCCATGCAAGTTTTCGCTTCCGTACGTACGATGACAGTCAGTACGGCACTCGTGTACGGCACCCCGACATGTCATGTCCAATTTGTAGACAGGGGCTGGAACGGCAATGCCTCTATAATTGCGGTCGATGTGCCTCTGTGTTCCTAGCAATAACGAGCCACGTAGCCTATGACATCTGTCTGTGTCGTGGCATTCGATGCAGCAGCTGTGACTGCGAAAATTGGATGCGGTGCTTCCATAGCCCACACCCGAGCCGGCCCTGCCCCATACTCCTAGAGAACCCCGCCTTCTATCCCTTACCCTCCACCCTCCCCTCCACTCCCTTTGTACTACTAACAAAAACATACGAATGAGCATCATTAAGAGCATAGACGATATGAAGATCAGAAATAGAATGAACGGAAGTATGAAGATGAAGGACGGACACAAGACTGTATAAGCTGAAGCTCTGAAGTGAAATGAACAGGAGTATGAAGCTCTGAAGAGATGCACACGAGCATACCTTCCCTTTTACTCTGCCTCCTGAAATAACGTGCAAGTGGGCCGTGAAGGCACATGGGGATGTGGGCAGCTGCCGCTCAACCACAATCAACGTGGGCAGCCTTGTGCGTAAGAGGCACAGTAAAAAGGGAGCTGCAAGA